CCGCCATGAGCTGTAGCCCTCTGTCATGTGCCACTCTGCCTTGTAACCTGCCAAGTACGGACTAAAACCTCCACAAACTGTAAGCGAAATAAACCTTTCCTTCCTTAATTTTGGGCATCAGGTATTTTTGTCCCAGCAACAAGAAAAAAGTAACTAAGACATGTGCACATTTCAAGAACTACCCCCAGCCCTAAAATATGAAGGACAACTGTGGCAAAACCAGAAGGTAAGTACTCTTGGTATTTTATCCTGAAGTGTACAGCATGCAGACATAAGAGAAATTCCTTTCTCTATCCCCAAGTTCATTCCACAACTGTGTATGTGCGTGTGTGTCTAATTTCTGTAAATAAAAACATCAAAAATATCCACCCACTGTACCAGATCAGTCATCACAGTACTAATTCCATCGCTAAGAATGTTTCCTTTACAATCCCTTTAATTTCTAATGCTGCCCTCCAGGAGTCTCCATTATACTCCATTATACCCGCCCCTGCCACCACTGGAATCTGCCTGAAGAAGAGACTACAAACACACAAGCTCAATAAAATATTTATGGGACAGATTGCTATTGTTCACCTGATCTGTAGACACAAAAATTGAGTATACACGTAAAACAACAATTCCAACTGATTAAAATAATTTAAATTAAGGAAGGAATTACAGCTATAAATTCAGTAAAAATTTGCACTTTTAAAAAAGGTAACTATAATTTATAACTTTTATAATTAATTCTAATGTCCTTTTTAAAGGAAACATCTGCTGTAAACAGACTGAAGTTACAACTTACCCATTTACTATGGAAATGACATAAATGTTAACATTACTGAGATGTAAACACTGAACTGCTAGGTGTTATTTTACTAGGACATACCCTACTTTTGGAATCCTCCTCGCCATCCCAGTTATCCCAGCAATGATGTTACTGTGCGAGATCATGACTCCTTTGGGAATTCCTGTGGATCCACTTGTGTACATGATTACTGCAATATCTGAGGGCAACGGTTTGCTCTGAGGTTCATTTTCTATATTGAAGAAAAGAAAAATGCTTCTGAGAAATTCAGCCATATCAACAATATTCTTATACTCATTTACTAAGACAACAAAAACACGCAAGAGTAGTCAACACACAAAGGATATACGTTTTATTGCGGCAGACAGCTAACACCGTAACAGAACACAAGACATGATGAAAAATAAAGACAAGGTGAGAAGATGAGAGCGGGTGCTACTTAGATGGGAAAGACTCCACACAGTTATATTTGCAAAGACCTGAATAAACTGAAAGAGGGACCATGAAAACCTGGAATTAGGAAGCAAGTATTCCATGTGTAAGTTTAAGTGTGAGGCCCTCTGCTAGGGATGCTGGGATATGTGAAGATCAGCAAGGAGAGTGGTGGGAGAGGACAGGCAAGAGAAGAGAGACAGGAGATGATGGTGACGCAGCAGCCAGGACCACATGCAGGGCTGCAGAATGGAAAGCACTGTTGTCTTGAACAGAGCACATCCTCATCTATGACAAGGATGACTTTGGCTGCTGTGTGGCTATGAAAGAACTAAAGAGACAAAAGGCTATCCTAGAAATTCAACTAAGAAATAAATAAAAGAGGCTTGGCCTATGGTTTCCAGATATTTGCTAAAAAATATTGCTAAAAAAATTTGTACAGGGGCTGGGGATACAGCTCAGTGGTACAGCGCCGGCCTGGCAAGCACAGGTCCTGAGTTTGATTTCCAGTAGCAAAAAAAAAAAGGGAGGGGGTTAAAAAATTTGTACATACTACTGTTTCACACTGGTGAAGTTCACTGGGTATGCCAAGGGTCCAATCAAATGATACTGTCACCCACTTGCGTCATGAGACTAAAGCCCTGAGGACGACAGGTAACACAGTGAAGAGGTGGCAAAGCAGAAAGACAGACTCACTGACCCGCCTGAACCTCGGAACTACCCTACCTGTGAACTTATTAGAAAAATCCTTTGAACTGCTTCCAAGAGAATAGCCCCTTTCTCTCCTACCCATTTGGACAGAATTCCTGTGAACATTTTCATTCAAGCCCTTCTTTCTGAATCTGCCATTCATTTCTTTAGCCCAGTGTGCCATTCCCCACCAATTCTAGGACACTGTCCTTTCTAAGAGGACATCTGCTAAGTATGGGGGCCCTTTTACAAACTGTCCTTTGACCTCTCTGTACACCCCGTCCTGCCAATGACTCACCCAGTTCTCCCTATCCTGATTTCCATAAACCACACATAGCATGTTTTCTTCCTTCCTCTCTGACCAGTCCTTGGTTGCCTGAGGACACAGTTCTGTGCATGATCTCACCGTCAGTTATAATGAAGCCTGTTTCTAGTTTCCAGTCTCTTAACTCCAAACTTAACTCAGGAGTACTAGACTTGTACATGCTACTGTCCACAAGCTATCAACAGTTCAGTGCTCCATCAGCATGTAAAGTCCAACACAAAATTAACGTGATGCCAGTTATACCACCAATGTCAGCACAACCCTGGCTCTCAACAAAGTGAGTGTTTACAATCATTAATCACCATTAACCACTAAGCTTCCAGCTAAGAGGAAATACGGTCCCAGCATCCCAGTCTCTTTTGCAATATCTCAACGCGCCTGTAGACTCTGATGCTCACTTGACAGTCCTAACTTCCAGAGTCACCACTGCTAGGTGTGCTAACTAGAGGATAAAATGTTGTCTCCCCTGGAAAGGTAACAGAGCAGGGTGTAAAAGAAGGGCTCAAGATTTAGCTCCTCTTATCTGTTAATACTTACAGTAATTCCACTGATAAATTTACTAGCATCACTTATAAAACTGAACTATGAGAGAAAGGGAAATGGGAGAATAAAATAGTATTAAAGAAAAAGTATTTAAAATTAATTTCAAATAAGTAACACTTTTAACACATTAATAAGTTAATGTAGGTATTTTTCCTTAAGTCCTTTCTTGAAAGGTTGGATAAAAGTATTCCTAGAACTCACTTCCCCAGCTGATAGTCTAGACAACTAACAATTCAGGATCAAATCACCGGAGTCATCCTGGGGGTGCGCATAAGGAACGAGGACGATGGACATACCCGTGTTGGCCTTTGTTCCCAGGGCCTGCACTGTAGTCATGGTGTGCACGACGATGCCCTTGGGGAGCTCCGACCAGGTGGCTGGCTTCCCATCAACAGTGATGATGTGACGCAAGCGTGGGACCAACGAAACTATATCCTGGAAAAATAAATATTATCACACTTCTTCTTCAAAGTAGTGCACCATATTCAGTGACTTTGAAAGTAATTTCTTGACTCAAAATGGCAAGAGGGAAGGAGACACTGATGAAAACATGTAAAATTCAACATAATCAAAATTAACACGATGCCAGCTATACCAGCAATGTCAGCATAACCCTAGCTCTCAACAAAATGAGTGTTTACCACCATTTACCACATTCTTCCCTCGATGTAGAAATTTTGGTCTGATTTTAACTTACTCTTATAGCATTACATTTGCTACACACCTTTATTCTGTCTTAACATCCTAATTAAAAAATTACTGCTTATGTGCTTGCTTCAGCAGCACATATACTAAAAAATTACTGCTTATAAAATGAGCATGACGATCAAGCTCCCTAAACTACACTCATCCTTTCAGGAAGCCAAGAACATAGGGGAGGAGGAATACAATTCACTGAAAACTGGGAGAAAAAGAAAATCCCAGATATTACTGTTTTCAGAGCAAGTTGCCTGGAAAAAAAAATTTATTTAAAATAAACTACAAAATAGATCATCACAATAAAAGCAAAAACTGTAAGCCCTTCAGTTTAGATGTTGGCATATTAACAATCTATAAATCCGTCAGGTATGACAGCCAGGTGTGGTGGCACATGCCTAAATCTCAGATGTTTGGGAAGCTGAGGCAGGAGGATGGCAAGCTCCAGGGCAGCTTATGCAAATGAATAAATCTTATTTCAAAATTTAAAAATGTGCTGGGCATGGTGGCACACACCTGTTAGACCAGCACATGGGAGGATGAGGCAGGAAAACTGCTGGGACTTTGAGGCCCACCTGGACTACATAGCAAGACCCTGTCTCAAAAAAACAAAAATTAATTAATTAATTTTTTAAAATGTTAAGAGTAATTCTGGGGGCTGGGGCTTTAGCTCAGCGGCAAAAGCGCCTGCCTAGCAAGCGCAAGGTCGTGAGTTCGGTTCCCAGTACCGGAGGAAAAACAAAAAACAAAAAACAAAAAAAAAAAAACAAAGAGTAATTCTGGCCTGAGTATGAACATACGTGAAGTATATTAATGTACATGACATATATGTGAAAGGCTCACCACTATAAAAATTCTCAAGTAGCAGACAGCTATGAATTACAGTCCTCACCTTCAACTTTGTTTGCAAGAGTTCTTTACTGGTAATAATATTGGTCACCTCTGTTTCATTTAAACCATGAACAATGGCTGGTCCTCCTAGGGTAGCATATAACGTCACAACTACAAGGCAAAGAAACTCAAGTCAGATATTCAAACACTTCATGAACTATCAAAAGTAATACCTCTGCAAGTGGGTATGGATCACAAATAAATATTCTGAACTCCAAACTGTTAATCCTCAATCTATGAGAGGGTTACATTTTCTAAACCTAGTTTAATGTATTAATTATACTAACACATTCTCCCCAAATTTTCCCAAGATGTCTAGGATTTTAAGGTGAAGATACTTAATTTTTTATTCTGTTAACCTCAAGGTTATTCTGGGGCTAACACAATGGAAAGGAATTATAACCGACTTCTACACTTTCGCAACCTTAACTGTTGATTGCTCATACTAATACATGAAGGACAAACGCAGTAAGACAGCACACTGAATGTCAGTCCTAAGGTGCTGGTAGCACTGCTTATTAGAAAAACCTAGAAGAAAACATTCTTTAAAATGTTGAAATTACACAAAATAAAAAGTAACATGAATTTTTATTTACTTTCTGCCTCAGTGAAAAAAGGTATCAGATGACTTTGAAAACCACAAAGAATCGCTTCTCGGCCTTTTGGCTAAGATCAAGTGTAGTATCTGTTCTTATCAGTGAAAACCACAAAGATTATAAATTTTCTCAAAAGAACCAATGTAAACTCAAACCTGGGGGGAAAGAAAAAGGCAATGCTTCATTAGAAAGAAACACAGGGAGAAATGACAGTGAGAACTCTGGTGAAGGTCCCCTTCTTTTCCATCTGCAGGACACAACGTCCACTTTACCATGCCACGCTGGCACCAAGGCCTCTGCACTAAACTTCCAGGACTGCATCACAGATGGAGCCATCCGGTTCACCATTCAAATCACTGCAATACATGGGGCGTGGTGGAGCACGCCTGTAATCCCAGCACTTGGGAGGCTGAGGCAGGAGGATCACTGTGAGTTCAAAGGCAGCCTTCACTACGAGTGAGATTTTATCTCAAATCATGACAACAGTCAGATTCTCAACCACGTAACCTACAACTTTGAAATCCACCAGATTCTAACAGATGTGTTTTAGAGGTCAACTGCTGCTACTCACAGAAGTGGCATTAACTTCAAATGGACACTTGAGAGAGATGGCAGCAGGGCAACGATTCCTAAATGTAGGTCTGGATCCCTAAACGCAGGAAGTCCTCTACTTACTAACAGATTTGAGCTCCCTCACTACATTTGACTCATACAATTTGTATCACAACTGGCTCCTTTTCCAAAATACTGCAGACCAAAAATTCTAAGCCCTAAAAATTCTCCACTAGCTGGATGCAAGATGAAAGCTAAACCAAACTTCTAAATAATGATGTGGAATACTACTTGTAAAAGCACCATTTCTCCCAACGATGTAACTCCACTCCTGCAGACGGTGAGAAAGCCTACTTACGCTGGAAATTATACATAAAACACGCCTGTGCAGCAATCATCCACTCGGCCCTGGTCTCACAGAAGATGGCGATGTTGGTCTTAGGTTTCTGACCCAACATCTGTAGGCCATTTCCAAAATTAGAGGCTTGAACAAAGACATCTTCATAGGACAGCCAATTATATTGCCCGAGAATAACCTGATAAAACACAAAAAGCACAAACAGCTTTTAATATAATCAAAATGTTAATTTACAGAAAACCAAAATGTTCCTAATTTTATACAAAAAGTTATGTTCACATCAAACCTTTTTCTCAAAAAGCTAGAAAGTGAGTTTCAAGTAAAAAAAAAAACTTAGCTAATATGTGATGCCTTTTATGACAACTCAAACTATGCTAAATCTAAATCTCTATTTTTGGTTTTTAAACATATTTAGAGTTTGACAATAAAATCGTAAAGGTCAATTTCCTGGCTAAATGGTCGTATACTAATAATTCACTTAAAGATTTCTTGTACTGAAGTAATTCAGGTGCTAATTTAAAATTTTACCTGCCACAACCACTACTATGTCAGTATTTTACTTCCCCTCTACTTAGAAAACTCTGGATTTCAACCCTAGATGGTACAATACGATCCATAAGGAGAAACTAAACTGGCCCTGCTCCCCAACCTAAAAGAAATACCTATGGCTAGTCAATTAGAATTGTTGTATGTGAATGTGGACAAGAAAGCAGACAAGTCTGTAACTGTACAACCCAAAGAGACTGGTTCAATTATTCGAAGTCCCTCTCTTTAACCTTTAAATGCTCATGGTAGCCCTGGGCTTTTAACATTTGATCAAAATTTATCAGAAGTGCAGGTAACATCAAGTTTCTACTAGTAATAACCTCCTTTTAAAACTGTTTTTTTTTTGGGGGGGTGTCTTTGGGAATTTTCTTCAATTTAGATGAAACCACAAACCTCTTATTACATATAAATTGGGTAAGAAGCAGACTCTGTAAAACTATACAGATAGGTCCAAACACAGCTATGTTGTTAAGTACAACTCAAACATCTTAAAAATCATCACCTAAAAAATCATCACCTAAAAAACCCTATTCATTTTCAAAAATGCAAGCACAACATTCAAGAAGTTTCTAGAAGAGGTTGATGAAGATAAAATGGAAAGATGACTGCTGCCCTCTAGTGTCCTAGTCAAAGAGAGATTTAAGAAATAAATTCTTTTCTGATAAAGCAGCTGTACTTAGGACAATACTTATTTAACTGTAATGGTCCCAAATTCTCACCTTGCTCTGCACCCCAATGAAATGCTCAGCTCGAGGAGCTCCAATGACTTCAAAAGGAGCTCTGTGGGGGTGAGAAGACAGATGAGAACTGGGCCAAAGTATACAGGAACTGGATTATAATTATTAAAAACTGCATACTGCAAAGACAACAGTGAGTTCCTTCTAGATGCCAAACGCTAAACAATGAGCTTTATAAATTTCAAAGACTATGTATGCTCTAGAAAAGCTTTAGATACATAATCCAAATATGCCAACTAATGTGATGATGCCACCTGTGGCAAAGAAATCAAATCATAAACTCAACCCAACTGTAAGATTTCCTCATATACTATATAAAAATAACTATAAGCTAAAATCTGAGTTTTATTATGTACTTTTTAAACTACAGATTCTCCTTACTTTTCTCATAAAAATTACTTAGAAGACCCTGCTTGCTCTGTAATTTTACCTGACTTGTGCTGTAGTTTCTAGTCCAAACTTTGTCACTTTATACCTATAGTTAGTACAACTCAACATTAAACTCCTTAATTTTCTGTCTATCCTGTTGGACACTGTTGTATAAAAATACCTAACCTTATTAAACCCAGCACCAAAGGTAAGCCCGTTACCCCAGTCTTACCACACTTCCTCACCCTCTTAAAGAGCTTTGAAATCTTGTCTCCCTTTTCTACTTCCAAGTGATCAGATCACCTCATTGAGCAATTAGAAATTAAACAGAAACTCCCTTATTTTCCTACCATCAAAGTTAATATCTGCATACATCTGTACTCATCCTCTGCAGTCCACATGGTTGAGTACTTCTGAAAAAAGCAACTTTGCTTCAAAGAACCTTCCAAATTTCCACCTCTAGTCCTAAGCACTCCATGTGGAAAGCCAACTGCCATGGAGAGCCATGGTCATGTAGACAGCCAACCTTTTTTTTACCTGATTGTTCAACTAAGATGTCTGTCACATCAAACCAAACAAGCTCCAAAACAGCTTTCCCATTCATCCTTTTCCTTTTCTTCTCCTGTCACCACGTCAGCAAAGGGTACTACCACCATACCCCCACTGATCAACACAAAACAGGAGTAACTCCATGAAATTCTTCTTCACAGCTTACTTCTAAATTCATCCACAAGTTTTGTCAACTAAAAAGACCCTCAATCCAGCCATTTCTCTCTACCTCCACTCCTGCCATCCTAACCCATCTTTTCATACAAGTGGCCAAACATCCCTTTACAGGGGCACTGCAGTCCACCTCACATGGTCTGTAAGCTCCAAGGAACCTAAAGCATTAAATCTCTCTCTGGCCCTGTCAAGCCCTCTCCCCTGACTCACTTCCTACAAACAACTTCTGCTATTCAGACAGGCTGAGTTAGGCTAAGATGGGTACCTTCTTCAGTTACCCCTTAAACACCTCATTCATTGAGTTCATGCCTGTCCTACTCTCCCGCATCAGACCATAAGCCAGACATTTCTTTATACCATCGTCAAAAGCTGGTCCTTTTTTATTGTCTAGGCCTCAATTCAACCGTAATCTACTCAAAAGACTTTCCTTGATCACCAATATGCTTTATTTCTTCACATTATTTTATCCGTTAATATCCTTACTGTTTCTCAAGAATAACCAGTGTGTCTTGTTCCATGACGTTAAAGGCATGCAGTGATTCTCTGCTAAACACACTGAATGGATGGTAACATTAAACACAACTTCAATTCACTCTAAGCCTAAAGGAGTTTTCTCTCTCCCCCTCTAACAGCCTCATTTTTCAAAACACTGGTTAAAAATAAATAAATAAAAGCCATGTCCATCTGAACATTCAACTACCCTAACTTCTTTTGTTCTGATCACCAGTGAATCACTTACATCTTTGGTCTTCCACCCTTTAACTATTCTCAATGAAACGTAAGCATGACATCAAATAGGTTTGACTTTCATGGCAGCATGGTTATGTAAATGACTGTCCAGAATCTTTACTGTATTTTCTTCACTGTAAACTTAGAAAGGGGGATTAATCTCCAGAGCACAAGACTGACTGTGTTATCAAGAAATATTATATAGAATATTTCTATTGATGAATTTTTAATTTTGAGATTATATTGAACAATAAGTATTTAACAAGAAGAAAGTATGACAAAATAAAGTATTGAGTTTTTGATATTTATTGAGTGTTTACAGAAGTGCACCAAAATTTTCAACATCAAATATTTTTTGGTGTACAAAGCCCAAAGAAGAACATCAGAAATAAATTCCCGTATGAACCACAATGAAAATACCAATAGCAACCTACAAAAAAAAAAGTTTACTTCAATTATCACACCGAAGGCAGTTTGTACATATGACAGCAGCACATTCTATATACACGCACTGCCTTGACAGCACATACATTTTGCTTTCCTCGCCTTTTTGTAGGACACACTTGACATCTCAGTAGTCTTGCTGTTTTATCAAGAGGTTCTTATTTATATTATACAGTGTGTAGTTAACAGGAACACAAAATATGAATAAAATATTTAAATCTTGATATGGATTGTGCTTTTACAACAGACATCAACACTGTCACATCAGTTGTGTACTTCCTTACAAAACCTAAAACAAATGTATCAGAAATAAATTCCCATATGAACTGCAATGAAAATACCAACAGAACTCTCCCACAAAAATAAGCTTTGCTTCAACTGTCACACCCAAGACAGTCTTCACACAACTGCACGCTCCATGCACATGTCTTGCTCACACTGACAGCATATGTGGCTCGCTTAGCTTTCCTTTCCTATATGGCAGTCTTGTCAATTCTCTTCCCGATTTGTCCACAGTTTTTTTGCAGTTTCCTGGGCAGAAACATTTTGTCTTTCCTCTGGTATAAATGATCTCTTATGAGTTCCCGCCCCAATCCTCTAAGAAAACTTCTCAATGGTATTTTGCACTTGTCATTTTCTTTGCAAGCTATCAAGCTATTTATGCCACACATGTTTAGGTCAAGTGAAACACAACCATCAGCTAATGCTTTGTGTTTCAAGTGACATCATAGTTGCCGCATAACTCATCAACAACATCTACTCCCCGTTAGGTTCTGTTTCCATCTCAAGCTTCCATTTTGTCCAGATTTCCCCATCAATATCTCCCCGCCCTGGTGAAATGCTGACACCAGCAATACTAGTTTGTTTTTCTTTGCCATACAGGAGGTCAGTGTTATAGCGTTCTGAACTCCGAAGATTATACTATAAAATTCTCTTTCATTTGAAACTTCTGCTTTGTTCCTCAGTACAGTTCCTGTACTGTTACCAAATGTAGCATCAGCGGGAAACTGGTAAACCAACTGTCGAATGTCACACTTGAACTAGTTTGGGAGATGGAAGAAACAAGTCTCTTCAGAACATCATTCAGTTTATTACTATATGATAAGGACCTGATGACCAAGTCCCAGGACAAATGTCTAAATTGAAAGTATAATAAGTCTTTCCATCTACTAGGGCATACATTTTTATGCCATATTTTGACCAATCACTTTTCCATAAGTCTTCTCCCTTTCTGTGATCACTACGAGAAATACCTGCTAAGTATAGCATAACTATGAATGCTTTCAGTTCAGCTAGTGAGGTTTCATGCTAAATGCAGTTCTGAATATAGCTACTGGTTCATACAGAACATTTCACTTGCATTTCAGTCTTTGTGTATTTCACAGTATCACGCAGCATTCTGTTACAATTTCTAACACCTAATGGCAGTGCTGGCATTCTGTCCAATACGTTTCACCCCTGCCAAGACCCTTACTATATTTTTGGACCTAGTTCTAAAATTGGGTTGCTGCATTTAGTTGCGTGACTATCTCGCAACATTTCAACTAGTGAAATATGTACTCACATTACTGTTTTCTTCATCACCTGAATCATTCCCTGTGTCTCTATCAGTCGATTCTTGATCCACTTCACTATCACAGGAACTTTGGCTCACATGGCCAATATCAAAGTCATCATCATCATCATCATCATCATCATCATCACACACCCCCACCATTCTTCTGTTATGAAAGCATGTATTTTACCATAATGATATCTTCATCAGCCATGCATGAGTAATCTGATGATTCACTTTTGCCCTCCGAAAACCTGGTTTTTCAAGCATCACTGTACTGAACTGGGCTACTTCTACCAGAAAAATCAAAAGAAAATTGTTTTTTAACCAATCCTGGAGTGGTGTGGGTTTATTGGACCCTCTTTGATGTTCAGGTAAACATATGCAAAACCAGTTAGATGGAACATAAGGGTGAGTCCAAATCCCATTTTGCCACTTTTGCACATGTGCATGCTTCTTTCCATTCCTCATATCAATTGGGTAAACACACAGATTGCTTCCTGTATCCCTCAGAGAAAGGAATTGAGATGCACAGCCAGCTACTATAATGCTAAAGTACAAATTTACAGTAGAAAAGTAAGGGATGGGTACATTGGACCCATTCCCCTCCCCCAAGGGTTAAGATGACTCTCAAGATCATTCCTCTTTACACTTACTTGGCTACATTTTCATTTTATGATAGGTGTAACATACATATGAATGAATATCAATGTTACTACTCAGAATATGACTGCCTGACTCAAAAATTTATGGTTTGTTTCAGGGACATATAGTAGTCTCTTACCTAAAAAAATAAAATAAAATTCTGATAATATACAGAACATTACAAAATAAAAGCATACGAATACTTAACCATTCAGGACTCTGAACAATGATACAATTTAATTAAAATTAAATTTTCAAATAGCTGAATCAAACCTCTTTAAATACTAGGATGCCTTTTCCCTTTCACCATTTGGAATAGAACTATCTCAAAATTACACATTTTCCTATCTTGTTCAACAAAGTACACCTACCTTCATTCAACCTTTCTCTCTACACTCTGTTGCAAGGAAGTAAATCAGAGATCACTGGGTTTTCTGGCTTGAGCTATTTGGTACATGATGTATTTTTTACAAATAGCATGGAAGGGAGAGGAACCAGTTTGGAAAAAAAACCAGCAGGAGAGGTATACATTAACCAAACCACAGATCTGGCCTAGATATCTATTATTTTTACATAAATTATGTCAAAGCCAATCCTAATGGAATAAAAAATTCACTTTTTTTTCTAAGAAAAAAAGAAAACATGCCTGAAAATGCAAGGTAACAACATAACTTTATTCAAATCATGGTTGTGTGTGGTATTATCAACATCAGAACAACCGGTATAAATTAGGGCAATCCCAAGCAAAATAAGATATAAGGTCATTCTATACAAAAATAAGGAAATGTAGCAATTACGTTGCTGAGTTATAATGTTCTTAGTTTACATGAATTATATCAACTTCCTTGCCCTCTTCTTTATGTTAAAAAAAAGACAAGGAATTTACATGGTAAATAGAAAAATTAATGGGCTATTAAAAATGCTAAGCCACACCCCCCACTCCTTGGCTTTCTAGTAACAAGAGGAGCTCTTAAGTTTTTCATTCCACAATTGTGATTATTTCGCATTTCCTCAAAGATCTAAGAATTCCCTCAAGGCTAACAGAAAAAGGCAGGCAAGCGTAAGGAGGTAGCTGGACTTGGATAAGAGGAAAACTATTTTGCCTATTAAATCTATGCCCTAATGAAATTATTAACCAACTACAGATTGCTGTATTGCTTCTATATTTACTTCAACTTTTATCTATCAGAGATCCAACAACTAGTGAAAAGAAAGTCACATATAGTGCAACACTACTCCATTAATATTATTACAGAACCATGTTGTCAAATATCCTAGATAATAGTAATACTACAATAAAAGCCAAAGCATTTACACTGGGAGTCACAAGTAACTGGAAGCACATTACGCACATGTGCACATGCATAAACACACACACATCCAGTCATCACAAAAACTGCAAACTGATTAGTTAAGGGCTACGAGTTCTGGGACCAGAAGGCCTGGGTTTTAGTCCCAATTTCACCACTTGGAAGCTATAGTATTTTTGGGTAAATTACCTAACCTCCTCAATGCTGTACTCTACAGAGATAATAATGGGATAATTCCTTAATTAAACTCATTAATTAAAATAACTCAAGAGACTATTTTAAGTCTTAAAAGATGACATAAAAATCAGAAGCAGCAGATCACACCCCCAAACCTGGTACCATCTGAGCATCCAGGTGCTTCTGGGGACCAAAACACCCTAGAGGTTATACTGCAAGTCCTGAGAGACATCCACACTAGGGGGCATGCTCATAATTTTCTGACAATGCATCAGTGTTGCTATATCCAGAGAAGGGTACTGTCTAGCCTCCTTCAGGTATGACTTCTCCTGCGACATCAGCAAACTCCAGCAGAAGCAGGCTGTGCATGTCCCTTATCAACACTGCTAAGGGTACATTTATTCAGAAGGAATTCAAAGCCAATGAAAAGACCATCTTACCTTTTTAAAAATTTTTCCATTTGGTTGTACTTCATCTTCTTCGTTTAAAATTTCACGTGTCCCCAAGAGTCTTTTGTCTTTAAATTTGTTTTTTGCATACATGAAAACTTTATCTAGTGTATCACACCCAGGATACAAAACCGAGGCCAAACCATCCAAACTATTAATAGATCTGTATGCAGAATCAGGTTTTGAATTTACAGGCTTGGCTTTAACTTGGTTTGATTTCTCTTGTCTTGACTCAGAGAAAAAATAAAATGGAATATAAGTTAAAATAGTATAAAGTGATATTATAACATGTATGAAATATAAAAGAATGGGGTTGATGGTCTGTTTTAGCTTCATGGTAGATGGTTTGGAAGATGCGTGGTTATTCATAACTGTTCAAAATGTAGAATTAACAGACTTCAACAAGAATCTAAAAGAAAGAAAAAAAAACATTAATTCAACATCATCTAAAAATAACTTTAAAGAAAAATTCTTCATGTTAAGCAAGTGAACTTATATTTTTTTCAACCACATGAGAGTTCGTATACTGGGCCTCTGCAATGCCCTAATATTTCTAAGGGTCTCATCTGTACCACATTTATTATCCATGGACTTACTCAGAAAAGGTTTGACATCATACTGTAAATAGTTAGTCTTTCCAACCTAACCTTAAATATCCATAAGTACTTCAATAATTAAGAAGGGAGCAAGGCAGGAGGAGGGGAGAGAAAATCAAAAAGAGACCAAAAATGTACCTACTTCTATTCTTCCAAGCCCTACTGCATTAAAGATACCAAGTACTTTATAAATAAACCATTCTCCCCTCTCATGACCCCAGCACCAGTCACTGCCACTCACCCCTGTATTTTCTCCAGTGAGCCCATTCTCATTCCAGGTGGTCACAAGTAATCAGAATTGAAAAACATGTAAAATTCATTTTCCACAGGGTTCAGAATATTTGTTGAATTAGGCAGGTCAAATTGTAAAGCAATGCCGGGCATGGTGGCACACAGCTGTAATCCCAACACTTGGGAAGCTCAGGCAGGAGGATCACCATGAGTTCAAAGGCAGCCTGAGCTATGGAGTGAGTTCAAGGCCAGCCTGAACTGTATAGCAAGACTCTGCCTCAAAAAAGCGTATCTGCGTGCTTATAATTTGAACTTTGAAAAACTGTATTTACAGATAATACAATCATGTACACAGAAAATCCTAATCAATCCACTACAAAACTATGAGACCTAATCTATAGTTCAACAAGATTGCAGGATACAAGACTGCATGATATACAGTGGAACCTCAGTTCATGAACTTAATTTGTTCCACAATTCTGGAAAAGATGGCCATGTTCATGCTCATAAGGGAAGGAAGGCCATGGTTGTTGTATTCATCACCCCATGCAGAGTTCACAGACACAAAATTTTGCCATTCTCTTCTGTTTATGAACCAAAATGTCCACAAACAAAAGCATTCGTTAACCAACGTACTACAGCAACATGGGTTACACAGTGTTATACATGCTCTTTATGCTTGGTTCCTAGCACAAAGCTCCTAGTATCGTTGGAGTCTGTGAGTGACAGGGTAATACTGGGTCCTGTTACTCATAATGAGCTCCTTTCAACCATGCCTGAGATTTTACTAATGAAGTGACTCTTGAAGGATGGAGGCTAGATGACACAGGAACTATCTACGTGATTAGAGAATGAAAATTTTTAGCCCTACCTCTTGACCTCTGGGGAGGGAGAGTGACTTAATCACTAACAGCTAATGGTTTCATCAACTGTATAACAGAACTTGCATTAAAGCTCTAAAAAACATGCTAGGTAGAGTGGTACACCCCAACTCCACGGGAACAGAAACTCCTATGGAGAGCCGTCTGGTCCTCAACTCATATATCCTTCATCTGGCTGTTCATCTACATCATTTGTAATAAACCGACAACTAAAAAATTAATTACACTGAATTGTCAAACTAGAAGAAAAGAATATGGGAAATCCCATTCGTTGCCACATCACAGAGAACTATAGGCAATCTAAGGACTGACTACTTTCGGTCAGCATCCAAAGGGAGTGGGGGGAGTCAGTCTTGCAGTAGCCCTTAACCTGTGGGATCTGCACTAACTCTGGAAGTTGCTGCCAGAACTAAACTAAACTGTATCCAGTCGGTGACTAGAAAATTGAAAAACTGCTTGATGTAGAAAACTCAAACTTCAGGGAAAATGGTACGAACAGCAGAGAAACAGCCTCTTTGAGATTTAGTGTCCAGACAGTGGAATCCGGCAACATGGAGAAGGAGGGAAGTAGCTCCCTGGGACCCAGCAAAGATAGGAAGCAAGTACTGAAGCCCAGAGGGACAGTGAAGAGAGAGAGAGAGGAACACAGAAGCAGGTGGCAAATGGCACTTTCTCTGAGTCCTGACTCATGTATTGGAGGGGGCGGCTCAAATATGCAGATGCCTGGTGACTACTGGCGACCTGAGACCACCAAAAGCACACCAGTGGAATGCACCAGTGGGTTCAGACAGCCTTCCAGAGAGGGCGTTTGGCCGGTAGCTATTTTGGAGAGGGGCCCACTGAGCTCAGAACTCAGAGCAGCTCAGCACTGGCTCTACCTAGTGGATCCCAGTGTCAGCATGAGGTGGAGCAAAGTCAGCAGGACGCCAAAAAGCCAAGTTCAAGCTGGCAGGAGGCATATGAGTATTACAGGCTGAACAAATCAGGTTCCAACCTCACAGCCAGAAAACAGCCTGAACTTCACTGAGACTGAAGGCACAGGCTTGCTAGGATTGTCCACTACCCCACAGAAAATCTACAACTGGCTTGCTGAGATGAATTAACACAGATATGGGCTCTGTAAGTCTACGGTCTACCAGTGACGGCAGAGACATGCCTAAAGTGGACATTTTTTTCAACCAATAAATGGATAAAGAACATGGAATTTTTTTATACAATGGAATACTACTCTACTATAGAAAAGGGTAAGCTTGAGACATTTCTAGCTAAATGGATTCACTTTTAGACCACACTCAAGTGAAATAAATTGGACAAACCTGTGTAAATACCATATTATTTCTCTGATGTGAGAAACGCAAAGTGTAAGTAAGTATCAAAATGTACAACAGATACTGTGAAACAGGAAGAAAAATGTTTGAATGGTAAGGGGAACTATGGAGGGGAGAGGAGGAAAGGAAGGGAAAAAATACGAAAAAAGATGGAAAAACTGGAAACAAGGCTTTTGTAAGTAAGGAGGGGAAGAGGGATTGAAAGGAGGGTAGGGGAATGGGGAAAAAAAAAAAAAATCAAGCTGCACCAGTACACATACAAATTCCATATGATGGGGTCTGGGGATTTAGCTCAGCGGCACAGCACAAGCGCAAGGTCATGAGTTCGATTCCCGGTACCAGAAGGGGAAAAAAAAAAACTCAAATTCCCTATGATGAATGTGATCATTATGTACCCCTAAAATGTACCAAAAAGCATAATTTTTTAAAAAGATTATACATAGTGATAGTTTATAAAACATTTCTCTGTATTATCTCTATTCAATCACCTATAATGCAAGTAAGTTAGCACTCACTAATGTTAATATTTTTTAAAATATTTAACAATAGCCCAAATGCTCATTTTTTCATTCCCTGTAAGGAACCCAGATATAAGGTAGAAGGGGAAAAAATGCCTTAATACCAGATATCTGGGTTCTTTAAATATCTTGCTATTTCTCATCTGGCGTGGTGGCACACACCTGTAATTCCAGCACTCGAGAGGCTGCAGCAGGAGGATCATTGCAAGTTCGAGACCAGCCTGGGCTACAGAGTAATCTCAAGGCCCGCCTGAACTGCATAGCAAGATCCTGTCTCAAAAAGACAATCAATCAATCAATCAATAAATCAATAAATATCTTGCTATTTCTTATTAGCTATTTTTTAAAATAAAATACAAGGGGGGACATCTTCTAAATCTGTTAATTTCTTGTGCCAGTTCCTCATATATAAATGTGAATACTATTATATATAAGTAATTCCTATCCACACTTGTAGAATTTTTACAACCAAAAAAAGTAACAGAAGCAGGAAAATTCGCAGAAAAATCCACATGTCTATTAACATTAAAAAATGGCCAACCCCACTGATTACCAAGAAAGTACAAATTAAAATAGTATCATTTCTGCCATCAAATTTTCTTAGTGAAAAAAACTCTCAAGTGTTGGCAAGAACACAGGAAATAGTATCGTTGCTGGCATTTTGAGGGAAGTGCAGCCACGTTGCAGGGCAATTTGGCAGTGCCTAGCAAAAGCTGAACTGTGAATTCTTATGACCTAGCAAATCCCTCTTAAGAAATTTGCCCTGGAGAAAGTTTGGCACATGTGTGTATTTACTGTTGCCTTCTTTGTTTTGTTACTTGAATGGTCCACTGTGACAAGCCTAAGCATTTAACTGGCCCTCAATAAATGTTAAGAAATCTCTTTAACAAATATTTACTAAATAACAGCTCCCAACCTGATGTTTCTCATTCTGAGAAAGAGCAGAGTACACACTCAGTTAAGTTCCACATACAGTGGAAATAAAGGCTAACAAGACAAGGAGTTTTACCATGTAAATTCTCTTAATACTGTTAGATATGTACAAAGATAGTGCTATAAACACAGACAAATGCATTCCTATCTGGAAGGAAAAAGAAGGTTAAGGAAGTCACCATGAACAGAGTGGGTGCATTATCATTTTTGTCGAAGTAGAACATGAACTGCAGGCAGTAATGCAGTACCTGCAAAAGCATGGGTATGTAAACAAGCAAAAGGGAAATTACAGAAAACTCAAAGTATATATCATATGTTAAATAAATAACCTCAAAGGTATCAAGCTCTAATCTCTGGAACCTGCAAATGTTACCTTCTTTAAGGATCTTTGCAGATATGATTAAGGACTGTGTGACAGGAAGATGATCTTGGATTATTCAGTGAGCCCTAAATAGCATCACACAAAGATCCTTATAAAGGAGTGGCAGAGAGGGATTTGGCACACACAGAGGAGATAATGTGAAGATGGAACAAAGAGATTTGAAGATGCTTCCCTAAGACTGAATTGATACACAGAACACTGGCAGGCAACAGAAACTGGAAAAGGCAAGAGACAGATCCTTCCCTAGATCCTCCAGCAGGGGCAAGGCTCTGCTGACACCTAGATTTCAACCCAGTAACACTGATTCAAGCTTCTGGCCTACACTTACTACGAGAGAAGCCATGAATCTGTAGTGGCTTGGAAGCTGCAGTCCCTCCCAGCCACTGCAGAGGTACACTGTGCTAAGCGGTTGAGACATCATCCAGGTCTCCGAAGAATCTACCTTTAATTCAGTAGAAAGACAAATCAGACTTGTTTCACAATGCTAAATCTGGTGACAATGTTGACAACTCGTGGAAAAAGGAACTAGGAACAGGAAAC